CCCCAAACCCCAAAACCCCAAAACCCCAAAACCCCAATTTCATTCAAACACCTTGAAATCTAAAAATTCGAAAACCTCACTAAACTACGCACCCGTCTCTCTACTCTTTCCTCAAATCCTTATCCAACCTCTAACTGTTATTTTTCTGCATGGATGCAAAAGCTCTCACTCTTTCCTTCACATGCTCAATAGTCTCCTTATCTCTCTCAGTCACAGTCAAATCAATATCCTTAGCCATACATTCCTTTAGAATCAGATCTTTGAAGTTAAAGATGCTCAAATCATGAGAAGCCAGGCTATAATATTTCAGCTCTAGAGATTACCTCCTGGATTTCAACCTTTGATACCTCTTTTTGGACATATTCCTAAAGTATTGGCAGGGATTCTTACTTATCAAATGGCTGAACAGCTTCGCTGTTTTTCTGATTTGTTAGAAGGAAATCTTACAGCTGCTCTACTGATTTCGTCGATGAAGTAGCTCTTTAGTAGATCGTCGTTTTCAGAAGCCTTTTTGAGCACCTCAGTGGAGCTAACTTGTTGCCATTTCTTTTGGATTTTAGCTTTGAGTGCATCTAGAGGTGGTTTTGGATATTACAGAAGCAAATTACCTTGCTCTCTTTCAAGCATTTTTATTTTCTATACAACATTATAGATTTTGTGTAAGAATAACTTACAGATTTAAATTCGCTCTCGATCTGTTTATCTTCTAACACAATAAATTAATTAGCAATTACCTTTATGCTCACTTTGATCTGCATCCATATCCTACCAAAATTAACAGTTCCATTACCTTTCAGAAACTATCTGAGTGACTAAATTTAAAATTAACCTCCAATTTTCCAACCAAAACCTTCACCCCATTATTTCACTTAAACTCATCAAAAACATCCTATTCGAATTTTATCCGGGATTGTCTCAAAACTTCTTATATACCTCCTAGAACCCCTTTAAACCTATTTTAACTAGTATTCAACACTTTAAACCTGTGCTTACCTTTCTGACAATATTTCGACATTTTTCTTATCATCACTCCATATAGAATTTGAGTCTTCGACAGGCAAGTTAGCCTTCACCTTATCTATAGATTAGGAAGAAGTATACTTGGGTTTTTAAGAATTGATGTAGTCACTTTCTTTTTCATTGATGCATCTGCATTCTCAGAAGTAGATGAGGATTCCTCACTGCTTGAGTTATTAACGTCAAGTTCATCAGAAGAATTTTGAGACTCTTTTATAGCACCAAAGTTTACCTTTGCTCCTGATTTTGGAGAAGGACTCTTACTTTCTTCACTTTCTTCACTACTGTGAGATTCTTCATCTTTCTCTGAGATTATTCTTTTCTCTGATTTCTTACTCCTTTCCGATTTCTTATTTTTCTCTGATTTATGACTTTTCTCAGTCTTTCTACTCTTTTTACTAGATTGAGATTTTTCAGTTTTACGGCCTCTACTCTGAATATCAATATCTGAAGGCCCTTCTTCAGATTTTACACTACCATATGCAGCCTTTTTCTTTGGATTTCCAGAGAGTATATCTGAACAGAGGATTTTGATATTTTCATCCAAACTATTTCTAGGATCTAATGTTTGCCTTGGCTCATCCTCATTAGTCAAATTCATTGATTGACGATCTATATTTCACCAAAGTGTACTTACTGTTAGACTTTATAGTAGATGGGCTCTTTTGCTTAGTTTCCTCAGAATAGGTATAATTCATACCAGATCCTCTAGATCTTTTACCAAATTCAGATTGGGCTATAGTATGTCTAACTGTAGTCTCATTATCAGGTAAAGCTTCTGGAATCGTTCCAAGTGATTGATCTCTTCTTGTAGCAATAAACCTCTTCTTGGCTCCACCGTATGCTCTTAGCTCTGCATTTCCTGCTACTGAAGAATCCTCAACTAAAAGAATAAGTGTGAAAATTTTACTATAATCATCTTGATAAGAACTATCTTGATTTTCGAGATCTTCTTCGTATCACCTATCATAATCATCATCATCCGTCACACGGAACAAACTCTTCATAGGAAGCCCTGCAACAGGTGGGATTACAGAGGTAGGCACTATCGAGGGTCTTTCCCCATTAGAAGATGGAATGGAATCAGAATCAGACTCTTCATCAGAAGATATCTACAAAATTATCAGCTATTTACCCCCATTCCTTCTCCTTTCTCGAGATCTTTTTCTCTTCTATTCATTTTTAAATTATATAATTTCCAATAAAGTAATTGATTTTTGGGGTTTTGGGGTTTTGGGGTTTTGGGGTTTTGGGG